CATAATAAGTAATTTATTCTTAAAAAATAATTTATAAATAAATATAATAAATACAAATTGATTATATATAAGCAGTTAAAAAAATTTCTATAACCCTTCTCATTTAAAAAAAGTGTTTGAAAATGTTGTTGTCAAAGAAAAACTCCTAATAAATTTTCACGCAACATAGTCATTTATTATGACATCTATAATCTATAACAATAAGATAATTATTTATTTTATATGACTAAATTTATAATAAATAAATATTTATTATATATTGGTGTTATAATTAAAATTTGTAATAAATAAAATAGTCTTGAATATATAAGTTATATTTTAAATTTATCATAAATAATTATTGTGAATTTGTGATAAAAAAAATTATTTTTAACAATTTTTTTTTTTGTGTTGTGATATTCCCTTTTATTTTGGTATTGGTATACCATAAATACAAAATTGAAAAACTCAAAATTACCCATGAGAAACACGGGATCATAAACTAGTTCCTAATGAAATAATGTTTCTAAGCCATATAGATACAACTACAAGACAAATTATAATTCCAAAGGATAGTTGTATCCTATATTGTTCGAATGTTACATATATGATGATATGTGATAGTTAAGGCATCCTTATGTACGCGTATGTGTGTTTCTTCTCTCTCTCCCAAAGAAAACTCGGGTGTGAAATTGTGAATTGTTACACGTGATTACATATCTGAATCTGCACGACCCTTAATCCCTAAGCTATATAGAACATAAAATGTAAATTTGTGCAGTCCAATAATTGCAATCCAACAAGTTAAAGCAAAAGAGGAATCATAGTGCATGTCCCAGAGTGAGAGAAATGTTTTATTGAATATATACCCAGATTTACCAGAACAGTATGTGATCATAAATCATCACTATAGCCACAAGAAAAATACAAGTGCAAAGCATCTATCGTTTACTTAGACTCAGCAAACTTATTAGAATAAAACTCACTTCATTTCCCGACATAGCATTTGCCTAATCAATTCATAGATTGAAACTCACTAGTCATTATAATTATTCTAGCTATGCTCACTCACCCTGGAAGACTCTCCTACTGCACGATCCATCTCAGAAAACCATCTCCCAATCCGGGTGTGCTCTACCATATCTCTACCTGACTTGAGATTACGGATGGGTCTTAGAACACCAAATACAGAAAGATCTGCTAAATTAGGATCCAACCCACCTGCCAAATTAAAGAATATAAGCACTTACTACTCTTCATGGTAGCATACAAACAACATTTTTTGCATTGTGTGAATCATGTTAGTTGAAAATACCAAGAAATTTTCTGCCCTTCAAAGCATCAACCCATTGATCTGCAGCTCCATACAGAGCTGCACGCTCATCAGTGATGTTGTGTTTCTTCTTCAACTTCTTTGACACAAAATACATAGCTGCAGCCCCACCATACTTTGCCACTAACCTTTCAGACAAACTGAAATTTCCTGCATGTAGAGGGAAACATCTAAAACTGTTTACTCACCATAACATGCTAGACTTCGGGATGAAAAGCGAAAAAGGTTAAAACGGGGAGAGAGAGAGAGAGAAAAGGAAAGTAGGAAACCATGAACTGAAGAAGAATGATTAAAACAACAATGCTTGTATTGGTTTGATAAATATTGCCTTACAAAATACATACATGAAATACTAAGGTAGTTTTTAACAGTTGAATTAGAGCTTCCTCTCTTTCCCCCCTT